GCAGAAAAAAGAGACAGGACAAACAGTGGCTCACTACGGACACTTGGAAACTAATAGAAGAGAGAAGGACAGTGAAGCAAAAGATTATCCAGTGCACGACGAGCAACAAAAACAGGAGCTGAATGCAAGCTACAATACACTGAACAAAAGAGTGAAGAAAAGTGCCAGGGAAGACAAAAGAAAATATTATGAAACCATGGCAAACGAAGCAGAACAAGCTGCAGGCAAAGGAGACCTCGCCACACTCTACCAAACAACTAGGAACCTTTCGGGCAAACGTTCGACACAGATTAAGCCAATAAAGGACGACAATGGAAAGTCAATCACCAAAGAGGTGGAACAGAGAAAGCACTGGGTTGAACACTTCAAAAGACTTCTAAATCGTCCGCCACCTACAACACGTCCAACAATACCAACAACGGAAGCAGAACTACCAGTGAACACTGACCCCCCGACGAAATCAGAAGTCCTGAATGCAATCAAGATGCTTAAAACTGGGAAAACACCGGGACCAGATGGAATCCCAGCAGAGGCTTTGAAAATAGACCCAGAGACAACAGCGGACTTGATGACACCACTACTGGAGAAGGTGTGGAAAGAGGGCAAAGTACCCGAGGATTGGAAGAACAGTTACTTATTCAAACTTCCAAAGAAAGGAGACTTAAGTCAATGTAAAAACTGGCGTGGAATTATGCTTCTGTCCATTCCAAGCAAGATACTAAGTCGCATCATCCTGGAGAGAATCAAACAAGCCCTAGATGAAAAACTTCGTCCGGAACAGGCTGGATTCAGGAGAAACAAATCATGTATTGATCAAATCGCCACTCTACGGATCATCATTGAACAAAGCTTGGAATGGCAGTCACCTCTCTATCTCAACTTCATCGACTTTGAAAAGGCCTTCGACAGCGTCGATCGAGAGGTCATTTGGAAACTACTTCGCTACTACGGGGTCCCATCGACAATTATACACCTCATCCAACAGTTATACGACAATGCTGCATGCCAAGTAATCCACAACGGGAAACTTACGGAAGCCTTCGAAGTGAGGACGGGAGTGAGGCAAGGCTGTCTACTATCACCAATGATCTTCCTGATTGCAATTGATTGGATAATGCGACAGACAACGGCAACCAACGAGGGAACAGGCATAAAATGGACTGACACAAAAGACTTGGAGGATCTGGATTTCGCCGATGATATATGTCTGATTTCCCATAAACTGGAAGATATGCAAGTGAAAAGTAACAAGTTGGCAGAAGAAGCATCAAAGATAGGACTTCACGTGAACATAGATAAAACAGAGATAATGAAGATTCCTAGCCAACATCAACAACACCAACAGACCACAATAAGCATAAATGGGAAGAACCTGAAAGAAACAACCTCCTTCACCTACCTGGGAAGCATCGTCTCAACTACAGGCGGAACTGACGAGGACATCAAAGCCAGAATCGGAAAAGCAAGACAAGCTTTCATTACTCTCAAATCTGTGTGGAGGTCAACAGCAATCAGCATCAAAAATAAGATCCGGATTTTCAACTCCAATGTGAAGTCAGTGCTACTATACGGATCAGAGACTTGGCGAGTCATAAAGAGCATCTCAAACAAACTTCAAACCTTCATTAACAACTGTCTCCGCTCAATACTCAAGATCAGATGGCCAGAAAAGATCAGCAACAGGGATCTCTGGGAGCGAACCAATCAGGAACCGATTGTGAAACAAATAGGCAGAAAGAAATGGAGATGGATTGGCCATACGCTGAGGAAACCATCAAGTGACATCACTAGACAAGCCCTCGAGTGGAACCCGAAAGGGAGGCGGCGAGTTGGTCGTCCAAGGGTGACTTGGAGGAGGTCATGCGAGGAGGAGATGAAAGCATGTGGACAGACCTGGAGCAGGGTGAAAAAGTTGTCAGAAAACCGAAGTCAATGGAGGTGCGCAGCTGAAGCCCTATGTTCCTCTAGGAACTAAAGGATACAATAATAATACAATAATAATGACTTGTTTCTCCTGAATCCAGGCTGTTCCACTCGAAGTTTTTCATCCAGGTTGGCTTGTTAAATTCTCTCCAGGATGATGCGGCTTAGTACTTTGCTTGAGAAGGACAGGAGCATAATTCCACGCCAGTTTTTGCATTGACTCAAGTCTCCTTTCTTTGGTAGTTTGAATAAGCATCCTTTCTTCAATCCTCGGGTACTTTGCCCTCTTTCCACACCTTCTCCAGCAATGGCGTCATCAAGTTCACTGTTATCTCTGGGTCTATTTTCAATGCTTCTGCTGGGATTCTATCTGGTCCTGCTGCTTTCCCAGCTTTTAGCATCTTGATTCCCTTCAGAATTTCTGTTCTCGTCGGGGAATCAATGTTCACTAGTAGTTCTGCTTCCGTTGTTGGTATCGTTGGGCGCGTTGTAAGTGACGGTCGATTTAGAAGTCTTTTGAAGTGTTCAGCCTAGTGTTTTCTTTGCTCTACCTCTTTGGTGATTGACCTTCCATTGTCATCCTTTACTGGCTTAATCTATGTCGAACGTTTTCCCGATAGGTGCCTAGTTGTTTGGTAGAGTGTGGCGAGGTCTCCTTTGCCTGCAGCTTGTTCTGCTCCACTGGCCATGGTTTCATAATTATTTTTTTTGTCTTCCCTGGCACTCTTCTTTACTCTTTTGTTCAGCGTATTGTAGCTTGCATTCAACTCTTGTTTTTGTTGCTCGTCGGTGCACTGGATAATCTTTTGTTTCGCCATCCTTCTCTCTTCTATTAGTTATAAACTCATACTACCAGACTATAGTATTGAAATCTAATAAACTTCATCATAAACAGAAGAGTATTGAAGTCATTTAATACTGTTATTGATTGTCATTGATAGTCATAAATGACCTGTAGTAAACAATAGTTTTGACCAGTAGAATTCGGCGATTCAAACAACAAATCATCAACACTGTTCACTCAGAGCCGAGCTTACCAACAGCCTACTCGGATTAAATCAGTTCTAAGATAAGAGTCACATTTTGCCTGCCTACGCAAGTTGATTAATCAAATTAAATGTTTACGAAATCTATAGTTAAAATTGAGATTACACTAAGATTTCTATTACAAATGGAGAGTATTTAGATTCAATGATTCAGCTGTTAAGCACTATCAGATGCTGTATACGATTCCCAATTATTCATAGCAGTAAATTATGCATATTGTGCAGGAAGTTTAGAATGTTTTCTGAACTCTTAGATTTCTGTGAATATTCTAGATACTGGTATGCTTACTTCACTATAGTGATTCAGTTACTCATTTGATGGCGAGCAGACGGAAATCAGTCTGGACAAATCTCACTGTAGGGCCGAGGAGGAGTATTACTTACTTATTGAAGAGAAGAAATCCGCCGAATTTAACAAAATGAAACTAAATACAAACAGACTCCTTCAAGAAATGAAACCCAAAGTTAAAATTTCCCTTTGGTTTAAGCTAAAACCAAAATCTTATACACCTTCAAGATTCTACGGTCAACCAAAGGTATATAAACCCACAGTTCTATTAAGACCTGCAATAGATTTCACAAACTCACTGACATACAACCTCTCTAAATACTTACTCTCGGTACTACTACCACTACAAAAGGACACTCAAAATATTGTAAGAAACTCATATGATTTCAAATCTCAAATAGAACACCGAGAAATTGATAAAGAAGACATTATGGTAAGCTATGATATTAACTCATTTTATACTAGTATACCTATTACCGAAAGTCTTGATATCATTTGCAGTCTACTAAAATCAGATACAATGCTATCACAGAGATGTCCACTAGACACCAGTGAAATAATTAAGAGCTTGAAATTCTGTCTAGAAAATAATTATTTTACATTTAGAGGGAGTTTATATAGACAGACAAATGGTGTTACTACGGGTTCACCAGTCTCCCCAATAGTCACTGACCTTTTCATGAATATATTCGAAAATAACATCTTTTCAAGCACACTCACTCCTAAATATGGTTAAGGTATGTAGATGATACTTTTGTAGTACTAAAACGAGATCTACACAATTCATTCCTGGAGAAAATAAACTGTGTATCCCCCAGAATCCAGTTCACTTCGGAAGCAGGCAGAATCAGATGTCAGTGAACTACCATTTCTAGACTAGTTAAGAGGAGGGAAAACGGACATTTTAGTAAATCCATATTCAGGAAGAAAACCCACTCCAATAAATATTTAGACTTCAGATCATCACACTCCATCAGCGCAAAGATTTCAGTTGTTTCAAGTCTTCTTAGACGAGCACACTCTCTGATAACGGATGAGAAAGAAAAAAGAAGAAGAAATATCAAACATTACTGAAACTCTCAAGCAAAACAACTACCCAAGGAAGTTCATCAACAAAATCAACACAGGCATTAAGTATGGCCATGAGAAAAACAATAACAAAGCTTAACTTCGAGGAACTCACCAACCAATCACATCAGACTTAACGTGTGCAAATACGATTCACAGATATATCGCCTAAATTTCTAAGAAACGGTCACAAAGATATGACAGAATAACCTTCAGCAAGAAAACAACCAAACAGAAGACACTGCTTCTCTGCTAACAACAACGCTAATAATAATGTACATAAAAATCTATAAATATCTGTTGTTTTCTATAGTTTGGTTTGTAAGGGTTAGTTATGTTTTTTACGAGTTGATCACGGATTGATATCAGTTAGAGAACACTATTGAAATCAATCCGTTCAGGAATGATTCAACACTTATCCACCCAGATATCTAGAAAATTCTACTACCCCAACGACGACAAATAGGAGAGAACAAAGAAAACTATAAAACTCAAGTTTCAAAGTCATGTGATTACAATTGATGAAATGATTATGAACAGTAATAAATTTTGTTCGAAACTGTGTCATCCAGTAAATGATACTGTTTCACTGTGTGATATATCTAATAAACAAACTAATATGGAATATCTCAAATGTTACTATCATAGATTTAAAAAAAATAGGAATAACTTACTCATGGCTAACGATTTTGTAATAATATTCACTATTGATATAATTGCACCGCATGCATTCTACATAACAAAATGCAACAACAGAAAACAAGAAAATACATAGAGTTACTAAGTCAAACAGGCAAATAAGTGTATAAAAGAAACAGTCAAGTAAGACTTACACTTAATTCATCAGATTCCAATTGTCATGTGTAAATCCAAAGGTAACAACGCTTAAGTGACACGATGACCAACATTTTGTGCGAATATGGAATGTCAATGAAGTTGTTTCATCGCTTTATACTTTCTGAATTACTTCGCCGAATTTACAGGTTTGACAACGAGTTGACATCAGTTACAGGACCATTGGAGAACCAGCACGGAGTACTGGAGAGCTATTTCCTCCTAGTTTGGGACTTCTCGTCAGTACGCATCCACCCAGGACCTTCTAGTCATAAGGCGAGCGCTCATAGACGATTCAGCCACCGGGACCTGATCAAAATGGCTTATGAATCTTAACTTCCGCCAGTCCGTAATAAACATAGCGAAACCGTTAGCCAATGTTATAGGCAAGTAACTCTTCGCTTACCAGACTTGGTGGACTCCACTGCTTACGAATTCTCACCCTTTTTTTATTCCTTAACGTTCACAGTGGAACATAGGGCTTTAAGCTTCTTGGGCTTTGAAGTTTCGATAGCACTGGTATTGTTAGCCTCAAGCCCAACCTTCCCTTTTTAGCAGTCTTATTACTAGCTTAGCGAGGTAAAGGAGTGTGTCGGCTGGGGATCGAACCCCAAACCACATGAGGCGTGGCTAACAAGCATTCTACTCCTGTGCCACCAATGACTTCTCACTAGAAACCTATAACCAATCATATCTCTGCAAATCAACACTTGATATTTAAATATTGAACGATTTGATAAAAAAATCCCCACTTCCCGATGAGATTGAACACCACACAGCTTTATGAGTCTTGTAGTATACAATCATGTATATTTTAGTGCAAACACTACTATGTATACATTCACGTATATGTGATCAGTTGCGTCATTCGAATCACTAATATGCCGCTTATTAGAATATTAAACTACAAAGGCGTGAGCTTTATACGGTAATTAACTATTAAAATTGCTAAAAAGTTATAATAACGTTGGTATCAATTAAGCCTCGATTGTCGAAAACTGGTTTACAAACAGTGAGCTAAGTGAGATAATAAACGCAAGTCTAAAAAAACTGAAGCTACTGTTTGATGCGACATTGAGATGTTTAGCACAGTAGGATATATATATATATATATATATATATATATATATATATATATATATATATATATATATATATATATATATATATAGTCCATTTTGTTTTAAAACACATAACTAACCGACGCATAAGTAAAGTCAGGCATTAGAAAAATTCTCAATCTAGTTAACTAATAAGTAAGAAGTATTATCTACATGAACATGACGTATGCATAAATTATACATGTTTTTACAGGTACCTAAAACTCTTTTTCAAACAATGTATACTTGAAAGCATCTGTCAGTGCTGGTGAACAGTGAGTCGGTTATTTTTTCAAACTGGTCTCCATATTACCCGGAGACAATAAGGCTGTCATTGCTTAATCATGTACTGGTTGGCATAAGATTGTAGAAATGCAACCAGAAGTATTGTAGTACACTGTATTAACGTTTATTTGCAGATTCAAATGAACTGTCGTCAAGATTTGACAGAATAGTTCTAAAATATTTGGGCGCCGAGTGAGAAGTAGACATTTGTACAAAAAAATTATATTTGTAAAATCTCAGCGAGATTGAAATGAGTGTCATTCCAACGTTTCCTGAGTTCGGAAATCTGGTCTGAACTTCTTCAGGGGAATTAATCGAAATTAACATAACAGAGGTTTATATATAAAAGGATACATTTCTTGTTTTTAAAAACTTTGTACAATCATGAGTCATAAAACAAGTATTAACAAGTATAATAAACAAAATTGTATGAGCTGTGATCGCACTGGGCGCCCAAATAATTTAGAACTATTCTGTCGAATCTTGACGACAGTTCATTTGAATTATTTTGCAATCGAATTAAATTAACAAAGAAACTATGTAATTGGCACAATCATCGTGCTTTCACTCTCCGTTGTCTGAAACAGGATGCATATCCTAATGCATATTAGTCGCTGTCGAGTCACCTGACAACTCCAGTAGGTCGAATAAATCAGCCCAATATTCAGAAAGAAGACAAAGAAAAAAGTTCGACAGGGTGCTGCTTCAACTAAACCCTAATCCTAAACACCATAATTTTGAAAATACGTCTAATCATAAAATTCTACATACTAACAGTTTGAACAGACATGAAAGTGTGATCTTGTTAGCTGATGCATAGGAAATCCTGATTAATAAATAAAAATGGATATGTATCACTAATTAATAATACTTGGTCAAAATTCCCGACTGTCTACATCTTCTTACGGAGACGTCAAGAAATATTTTACAACTGTTTTACAACAACCACACACACACATACACACTCTGTTTAAAGTGTTTAACAAAGGTATACCGATATTTGTAGGTCCGAGGTCAAATTGTGATCACAGCTCATACAATTTTGCTTACTATACCTGTTTATACTTGTTTTATGACTCATGATTGGACAAAGTTTTTAAAAACAAGAGATGTGTCCTTTTATACATAAACCTCTGTTATGTTAATTTCGATTAATTCCCCTGAAGAAGTTAGGACCAGATTTCCGAACTCAGGAAACGTTGGAATAACTCATTTCAATCTCGCTGAGATTTTACAAATGTTTTTCATCTACAGATTTTGGCACTGATTAACCATTGTAAATCTATTTCGCTACCGCTTGAAGAATAAACAATCGTGTTGCTCAACTGTTTTCTGTTGTTCTGCGTAGGTTAAAGTACATAGTGTTCTGCATAGTAGGCTTAGTCTTCTGAAACCGGAGATAGGTCCATGATCTCTGCGATCTAGACATTTGACACCACCTTTTCGCTATTGTCAAGAAATCTGTATCAAACGTATTTAAAAAAAGTAACTTAGATCAACTTAATGACTACTAAATATCGAAAATACGATTTGGATGTCCTTAGAAAGTCGGGAAAAGAAAAGAAGCAGGTTTTCAGACAGAATTAGTGTATCCTCAAAAGGGAAAGACTGTTGAATGGTAGCATAATTTCCCGAGATTACTGTCGTCAAGTAATTACACATATGTTAAGAGTCAAAAAGTTAATTTCTCAAATAATTAATTTATTCAAAATCTTCACAACAGCATTTTTGTGATAACCAATTCAGATTACTATAAACAGTGTGCATTTGAATTACTATTTTAAGACTGAACTTAACTTGTATTTTTATACCACAGTGACCAATAATTCATTCCAATTCGTCCTCCTCTTCTCTGTTTCACTCGTGAGTGCCTTAAACCTGTTGCAATTTTTTGATATCAACAAAAGGGATGAACAATCTTAATGCTACACAAAACCGACTACATTGGTTAGTATTTGGTCAGACATTACCATTTCGCAAAAAATTTGAACATCTATCAAACTTCATTTAACTACACTGTTTTATATATTAGTTCATTTCCTTTTTTAGTTCTGAATGTTTCGAAGTAAGATCATTTGAAATGACTGTGATTCGTCTGTTCCCCCACTTGATTATAAACCTTAATTTTGTACAATGAAATATGACATTACCAAGAACTTCAAAGTGAAGAAGTTAGGCTGCGGCATAAACAGATAGCCATTAGGCTGATATTCGAATCTCAGAATAACAGAATACTACTAGTCTGATACGACCGAGAACGGGTAGTGTAACGACAGAAGATAAGGGCCAGGCAACAGATCGTTTATCAACAGATATTCATAGATTTTTATGCACAATTAGCGTTATTATTAGCACCACTAAGTGGGGCTCGGGAGGCACAAACACGAGAGAGCCAGGCAGGCTTTAGACCAGGAAGAGGCTGTATTGATCATATCTTCACCCTCCGACAGATTCTAGAACATAGGAATTCCTACCGGCGTCCAACAGTCATTATATTTCTTGACCTAAAGGCAGCATTCCACTCTGTCGATCGAGAAGTTCTCTGGAGATGCTTGGCTGTAAAGGGAATTCCGAGAAAATATATTGCACTGATTAAGGCACTCTACTCGTACTCATACAGCCAGGTGAGGGCTTGCGGCGAGTTGTCATCTGAACTGGTTACGACTGGTGGTGTCCGTCAAGGATGCCCATTATCCCCTTTTCTATTCAACTTCATCATAGATGTGTTAATGGACTTAACCCTAAGTAACTTCAGCGACTCAGGAATTTACTTGCTACCAGGGAATAATCTCGTTGACTTGGAATATGCAGACGATATAGTCCTACTAGGCGAAGACGCTGACAAAATGCAGAATCTTCTAAACACCTTGAGCCGCAACCTACGAATGTTTGGCATGCAATTCGCTCCCGCCAAATGCAAGATGATATTACAGGACTGGACCACATTGACGCCTAGTTTAAAAATAGGAAGTGAAGTGGTAGAGCACGTTGACCGCTTCACTTATTTGGGAAGTACCATCAGCCAGTGCCAACGGGCTGATCTCTGACGAAATCTCAGCACGAATACAGGGGGCTCGTTTCGCATTTGTTAGTTTACGCCGACTCTGGCGTAGACGAGATGTTCGACTATCGACCAAAGGGCGGGTGTACTGCTCATCAGTCCGCTCCGTCCTCCTTTATGGCTGCAAGTGAGACCTGGCCACTGAGAGTGGAAGACATGAAGAGACTAGCTGTCTTTGATCATAGGTGCCTCCGTTCTATTTCCCGTGTAAAGTGGCATAATAAGGTGAGCAACATTGAAGTTACGCGTCGAGTTCTAGGTAAACAGGGGAAATCAATCGACGAAGTTGTGAAGTTACAAAGACTGAGATGGTTAGGACATGTGTTACGTATGCCAAGCCATCGCCTCCCTCGACGAGCAATGTTAGCGGATATAGGGTCAGGCTGGAAAAAAGCTAGCAGAGGTCAAACAAAAACATGGCCTCACCAGTCAATGAAATCCACAACAGTTGGTCTAAGCCACGTAGGAAGGTGTAGACTTCCAGGCTGGGGTCCTCGGGACGGTAAAAACCAATGGTTGGAAACAATTGATGACATGGCTCAAAATCGTTCTCAGTGGCGCAGGTGCATCCACTCCTTGTGACCTATGATCTCCAATGAAACTGTTTTGTTTTTCTTTATTACTCCTTTGTCTCACACCTCTGCTCACTGTTTCTATTATGCTTTTCTTGTACTTTCTTCTCTTGCTTCGCGTGCTACACGGAGTGTGGCGAATTGAACTGCTGCACATTTGTGTATAGTTCTATGTCGAAAACAGACAGACAGACAGTTATTATTAGCAGAGGAGAGACGTCTTCTGACTGGTTGTTTCCTTGTTGAAGGTTATTCTGTAGTGCTTGTGACCATTTCTTAGGAAGTCAGGCGATATATCTGTGAATCGTATTTGCACACGTTAAGTCTAGTGTGATTGGTCAGTGAGTTGTTCAAGGTCAAGCTTTGTTCTTATTTTTTCTCATAACCCCGACTAGGGACGTAAACACTAACGTAAACTGTTGTCTACAATTTTATCTAACAGACAGCTCACTCACCACAGTAGACTTTCACCTTTCTTCTCAAAATGCTGTCATGTGGCCACACGTTTACAACCTCTGAGTGGTGAATCTTATTCCCTGCCCTCAAGTGGCAGGGATGTTTCTCACAAAAGTAAAAAGGACAAATGCGAAGATCTGGTGCTTTCAACCGTACTGGTAGACAGCCAGGTATACCTAGGGAAGCTGGAAAACTGTTATTCCAATCCTTTGGTGTATATGGACTGAAGAATCCAAAAGGATCAAACGGTGTATGAACCTGTTTCAGTCATCGAAAACCATTGGAAAGTGTCACCTGACGCTACTTCAATGCCTTGTAAAATCAGAATTATAAGTCAAAGACTCAGAGTGTGGCCAATGAAGACAACTACCTGCTTCAGTCTGGATGTTTCAGCAGTATCCCAGTCCTCGCAGAAACTATGAATTTTCGTGTGGCATATCCTTTGGCACCCATGATGTACCACGTTTGTGTTTTAGTAAAATAAACACTTTCCCCCTAAAAGTGACTTCTGAGATTTAACACCAAAACAAAAGTGGACTACAGTTATATAACCCTGTCTTACTAATTATCTTTATAGAACTGTAATAATATTTTTGGTACACTTTCGATGTTCATAATTCCGACTGATGTCGTCAACATAAAACTATTAGTGCATCAAAATGAAATTTTTTCTATTATTCAATGCATTTAGGCGAAACAACAACAATTGTATTTTTATACAAATTAGTTATTGAAAAATTTTGTTTTTATTTTCCTTATGATTGCTAGATTGAAGCATTCTAAATCAAATATTAACGCCTGAATTCAAACAAATTTTATATCACTAAATAAATAGACTATACATAGGTATGAAAAACAAGACAGATCGTCATAACATTGAAAATAGTGTGGAAATCCTACTGTACTCAGCATGAAGAGCAAAATCTGAATTCCCAACATTCCATATAGTTCAGAGGACTTGGTACACACGCCACTAAAAAAAAGCATTTCCAACAACCCTCTGTCGACTTTCATCAACAGCCGCCCTTACTTCACACTGACGATCAGCTGGCCAGTCGGAAAGGATAAACAACCAGGAACCCTGGGGACGAATCAACCAACAACCTTTTGTCGAATAAATTATGAAGAAAGAAACGGAGGTGGACTAGGCACTCACTGAGGATACCGTTGAATTACATTAGGAGTCAGATCTTCAAGTGGAATCCGAATGGGAAACGATGTATTAGACATGTATCCAAGGGTGATATGGAAGAAATCATGAGAGCCAGAAATGAAATCTCATAGACAATCATGTAGTCAGCTGAAAAAGACCTCAAAGAATAAAATGAAATGGCAATATGCTGCTGAAGCCTTATTTCACTAGGATTTCAAAGGGAAAAATGATATACAGTTAGATTATTCCATAGAAACGCCTTAAAATAATTTGACCATCACACAGAAGTGAATCCTTTAGAAATTCTTCTCGTGGAGGATATTTATAACGCATAATGAAGATGTTCTAGTTGAAAAATTCTCCAATCTAGTGTCGTTTTGACAGAGAATATTAGTTTTAGAAAATTAATAATGGTTTTCAACTTTTTGTACAATTCATATTTAAAAAAGTGATTGTCATTGTCACAGATGACAGAGGAAAATACAACACTTACAGATCCAACAATAACAGCATTTGAATACTTCATAGGTAGTCCTGCTGCTATCCCAAAAGTTAATGTTTGATGAACTCCCACACAACCTGTGTTATAAAGATACATGTAAAAATGCACAGAAAAGCAAACAGTTAAATACTATATAAGTGTTTATATATATATATATATATATATAGTATACCCTTGTTGCGTGATAACACAGTTTATAGCTCTAATGCAAAACATTTGCATGAAAGCTTCAGATAAACGAGTAATGATTAATTTCGAAAAACCATTATAGTTCAAAGTTTACTAAGAAAAACAAAGAAGAACGCATTTTAATTACTTTTAGATGCTGTAGCTGATGCATGAGTCTATCATTTGGAGGTCAATCGCGAGCTCGAATAGCTCAGCGGTAACATCTCTGACTGCAACACTGGGTGACGCGGGTTCGAATCTCAGTAGGCACATGAGTTCCTTCAAGGTGACTGCAGATACGCCCTGATGACGAGTGCAAAGTAGCACGAAACCTAGACGAAGCAAGGCTTCCTGCAGATTGCCTCCAACCAACTAATATCATGAGTCTGTCACTTTGCGATACAGACCCGGAGGTTTGCTAATTTTAATAACATGAAGATAAGTGAGTCATATGTAATCAGCAACACCTTGATAAGTGGTCTGTGTACTTAGCTCATTAATTTAGTAAGTTGAAACGACAGTCAGTTATCAAAAAAAGAAGTCTTCAGTAGAGCAAAGCAATTTTACAATGTCTCTTATGAGATATTTAAATTTATTTCAAATAGCCCTTCATCAAAACAGGGTTTAGAAAACGTCGCTCTCTTTAACAGCAGTATGATGTATTTTATCGTCGAATTGGAAGAGAAATCTATTCAGCAGTTATGCTCCTTAGTCGTTTAAGTAAACTTCACAAAAGGTTTCAAAAACGTAGTAGTCTGTTTGAATCCATACTTTAATCTTATAAATATGCCTGCTATCAGGGGGCTACCGAGACGAACGAATATAAGGAAGTTTCAGAAAATCCACTTGGTAGCGACTCCACTTGTAACAGCGGAACTGTTTATTTGGTAAAATACAGAAACTTTACATTGAAATTTCAGTTTGTAAATGTTGTTCATGCATTCAGCTTGTTTTGATCTTACCTTCATGCTTTCTATTATTATTATTTCACAAGAATCTTTCATTTGCCCTCCTTCGAACTTAATCCATCGTCTCGCTACTCAAGATTCTTGTAGAAGACATCACATACACACAATGCGCCGCCAAATATGAATTCTCGTCAGCAACACATACGTCGGTATTTCAGTGATAGAATATGCTCTCCAACCACACACATGTTCTGAAGCTCGATCTTCAGTGGATGCACTGTTAAACTTTAGCCAGCCATTGAGAGCAGGAGAAGAGGAAAAGTTGGACATAAGACCAGACCAACAACCCCATCCCGCTTACTGAAACTTCAAAGCTGAAGTTTGAAACCTTGTGTTCCACCACTCGGAACGTAAAGAAATGAAAAAGAACATGCACCGCACTAGCTGTCCGGCGATAAAATAATACATTACTATCTATCTAAAGTTTTCTCTACTTATTATATTTAGCATGAAAAACATACTATTAGCCTGATACATGATGAAACATTATCCGATCAGTGAATTCTATTCGTTTAATCTTTAATTTATGTAAAAGTCAAAGTGGAAATAACAGAAATTACAAAGCCATAAGAAAATGCAAATCACATCTGAATTATTTGTCTATAGGTAGAGTAAATTTAATTCAACGAGATAAAGGTATTTTTTTTTCTAATATCCCCTAGTCTACAAGATTTAAACTTATTCATCTTTTTTCTAAGCAGCAGTAATAGTCAACAAATAATCTGAATTCTTGGTTTGTTTTCACAACTTGGCAAAACACAGAAAATAATTTTACTATTCAATTGTATTAATTTAAAAAGTAATAATAATTTATCATAAAAGAAAGCTAGTTACGTGTAGTAAGTTATTCATTATGAAAAATGACAGGCTAATTGCCAAGTCTTTGGGGTGTATAAGAATCAAAGACAAAACTATGAATCGTCAAAGACAGATCGTGTGAACAACCCACAAGATATAGGTAGGCAAATGAAAGATAATAAAAAATTGGCAATAATTATAGGTTTGATAAAGGGTTGACATCAGTTAGATGACCATTGGAAAACCTGCAGGGAGTACTGGACAGCTATTTCCTCCTAGTTTGGGACTCCTCATCAGTACGTACCCACCGACTGGGATTCTAACCCGACCTTCCAGTCATAAGACGAGCTCGTAGACCATTCGGCCACTAGGACCTGATTCAATGGCCCACGGATTCTAACTTCTGCCAGTTCGTGATACACATAGTGCAACCGTCAACCAGTGTAACAGGTGAGTACCTGAACTCTTGCCTGACTTGTAACAACACGAAGGTCCCGGGTCCAAACAGTAGTAGGTGTACCCTGGTGAAGAGTCCCAAAAAAGGACGAAACAGTTGTCTAGTAATCCCTACAGGTTTTACGATGGTTATCTAACTGATGTTAACTTGTTATCAAACCTGCAACCAATCAAATCCCTGCAAACGCACTCGATAATTAATCAGTACTGAAAACAGTGCTACCATCAAAGTATGCATTCATAAATAAAGGTTTTTGGAAGAGTAAAAAGTTGTTGAGTACTTTGTGTTTGTTTGGCTTTATTTGTTATTTAATACATTTACGTGATTAATCATTTTAAGTAAACAGCTGTTGAAAGCTCTCCAGGTTATCAGCAATCATATCGAAACCTCGGAAATAACGAACGAATCAAATTTCAATTCTGGTTTCAAACAGATTCAACAATAACAATATTATCAATAGAAAGGAGCATAAGGGAAAACCAGTATTTTATTGTACATTAAAAAACCTGGTACAAGGTAAGTTCGTGAAACGTATTAAAATCATAGGATGCAAAATTGTGCGTCGGTGGCGCAGTGGTTAGGACGCTTGCAGACCATGCACATGGTCCGGGGTTCGATCCCCGGCCACTGACGCACTCCTTTACCTCGCTAAGCCAGAAATAATTCTGGTAAAGAGGAAAGGTTGGTCATGAGGCTAGCAACCCCATCCTGTAAAAATAAATACTGCTACAGAAACTTCAAGCCACGAGCTTGAGACCCTATGTTCCACCGGGAACGTGAAGGATATAAAAAAAAATTAGAATTCGCATTAAATCACATGTTAATTTCTGTTAGAACTATTCGAACTAAGGTGTAATCAATGGCTACTTCGTCCTAGTTTTGAACTCTTCGGTATTGTCCACTTATGGCTCCATCTCAGTTCGAAACAAGGACTTTCAGGGTATAAGTCTATTGGTCAATCAGCCACTGAGACAGAAATCGATGGCCTATGAATCCCAGCTTTTGTTGAATAGTCTCACATCATGACGAAATAACTGACTAGTACTCTCTCGTTAATGGTTCTTGTCATCTAACTTGAAATCAAGCCAAACCTTGAAGAGATGCTTGATCCTGTTGCTAGCTAGTTCGTGGAAACTGATGAATTAACCGTGATCTGGATAATTTGAAAATAGTGTCAATGACTTCATTAACAAGAAACACAAACTTCAGTGGTGGAGGCACACAACTCAGTAGCTGAAGATCGCAGATATACCATATTAATAAACGTCATGAAACACTAGAAACTATTGATGCAGAGTCCAAGTCTTAGTGAGAACACCACCACTCCCTAGCAAGCACGTCTACTAATGAGTCCCAAATAGGATGAAACGCGCATCCTGGATTCCACTGATAGTTCACTATCAACCAAAATAAAAAAAACCTAATTAGTATTACAGCTTACTGTTGATATTTTATTCGAAAGGAAGAGAGAATAAATTCAGTGCTTGTTGACACACAACAAAATGGAAATTAGGCTAAATACTTTTCGATACACATTGTTCAATGTATATGTATAACACCATACAGATTTTTTTCGTAGCTTTTGATAGCAGCATTTGACTGATGATAAGATTAGCATTAAGTGAAATTTAAATATTTGCATGAATATCACAGAAACTGGCACTCCTACACTGGACAAGTTAATCATGATAAAGATGTAAACGTCAGGATAAAAGTGATGACAATAACGAAGGTCCCCATATACAATAAAACCAAAAAGACCATAAGTTTAAATGTTATCAAGGCTTAAACATTCTATTGTGATAAGACAGATGACTTTAAATTGCAAAAACAATTCTTTATTATTATTATTTATTTTATTCCTTTACGTTCCCAGTGGAATAAAAGTCTTTAGTCTTCAGCTTTGAAGTCTTGTTAACAGTGGTGCTTATTTTCACGGGATTGGGCTTCTAGCCTCATGCCCAGCCTTCTCTCTTTAACAGTCATATTACCAGTTTAGCGAGGTTTAGTAATGCGTCGGTGGCCGGGGATCGAACCTCGAATCACTGGCATGGTTGGCCAGCATTCTACCGCCAAGCCACTAACGCGAAAACAATTTGGACGACGCTTTCCACTACCTGGACAGTTTTTCCACAGATTAAAAATAAGATAGAACGTTAAGTAGAATTATTCGAATATTCGGCATCAGATTCGCCTGACTCTTAAATTAAAGATAGAGAACGAAAAGGGTTGAATATGTTGGGCAATTCCCTTATTTAGGGGGGGAAGTTGCCTCATTCATAGTGGACTGGTTACTGCTGAAATCTCAGCACAAATAAAAAGGCTCGTACGGCACTCAGCGAGTCATCACCTCTGGAGTAGATGTGATATTGGGCTATCGACTGAAGGACGTGTCTGCCGCAGAGCAGTTCCCTGTTTTCTCTTTTATGAAAGGGGTGTGAGAAATAGCCATTGAAAGTGGGACATTTGAAAAGGTTAGCTATCTTTGATCATAAGTGTCTGCCTTCCAACTCTAGTGTTAAGTGGTATAATGAGTAGTGTGATGAGTAATATTGATGTTAGGTGTAGTATTAGGTAAGGAGGATAAGTCAATCAATGAGATTGTGAAGGTAAACGTGTTGCGTATGTTGAGTTGCCACGTTCGTCCATGGGCAATGTTGACTGGCATAAGATGAAGTTGAAAAGA